TCAATTCTCCTTCTATCCTCCCTAGTCATTGTCCAACTCTCTGATGCATAACAAGTGATTGCAAAAACCATGGCCTGTAGTAAATAAACTAGTAGAAAATAAAAAAGGGGAAAGTGGCTCAATGAAAGCTTTGTGGATGGGAGATATTATGGCTTAAAAAAATCCCATAAATACTGTTTCTGTTAGTAACTGATCCCATCTAATAGTACGTCATTAGTGGTCCTGGCTGAAGACAGTTGAAAGCCTGCAGACGAGGAGCAGAATTGGGAAGGAGAAGCTCAAGGATCTCCGGACTAGCACAGAAAATGATCCAGTTCTTCTCTGTCCCTGTCATCAGCACCACTACAACATACCTCCCATTTCACCCTGAAAAACCCCAGTCCTCAAACCCATACACACCTCTGAGATGAAAACATTTCTGAACAAAATGGGTCAATGGACTTGAATGAGAGAAGTTCTCTCACCATTTTCTAACATACGCTGTGTTTATTTATCATATAGTGGAAATTATCTAAGAAGTGAAAGAAAATGCATCACTGAATAACAAATGGTAAATATGAGTGACAATATTAGTAAAATATGGCTGTCTAGTGCTTTTGCATTTCAAAATACTGTTAGATGCTCTCTTTTGATCCTCTCACACCTGGTGGGGTAGAAGATATCAAGTCTTATCTGGATTAAGGCTGATTTTCATGAAGAGCTGAGGAGATTGATTTCAGGACATTGTAGTCACTACTCTGTGTTGCGTCTCAGGAAATATAGAGAGTGATATTTCTACCAGTTTATTCCACTCTTAATGGGTTTTACAAAATACTTTGCCTGCCCAATGACCTCTTTTCAGCATGTATACTTCAAGTGTTACACCTTCAGAAAAATCCATGAAGTAATAAGTATACTTATAGAGAAACTTCCCATGAGCTTAGTATTTCTTACTTGTTATAAAAAATTAAAATAGAATTCAAAATATGGTTGCTTTGGATAGATTTATAAAATGTAGTGAGTTAGGTTATGGTGGATTTTTTTCCCAAATAGTAGCTGGAAGTAGATAATGATGAAATACAGCACTTCAGCGAAAACCTTATATACATTTTTCAAACTGAAGGTGGGTCTAGAAAGACTTGATATCCAAGTAAGTATCCAATGATGTGGATGAAGATAGTGGTTCTTTTTCCTCCTTGTCCTCCTCACCGTCATCCAAATCAGCTTTTCAGTCTGCACAAATTTTAGAACCTGAACACTTCTAACAAAGCAAATATCTTATTGCTGAGAACCCAAGTCAGTCTTTCCCCAGAGATTCCAGAGGTGTGTGAAAGGATGTTGTGGCATCACTAAAGGCTCTCTGGAACCCTGAGTAGTAAAAAGCCATACATGTGAAGGGCGTGGCTTATGCTCCAAATGAATCTGGGTGTCCCTGACTGTCCCTGACTATCGTACCTGCTTTGATTTCCTTGATGAGCACAACACCAGCACTTGACCAGTCTACAACTGTGTCACTTTAAATAAGATTCTCATTTTCCAGCAATCCCCTTTCTAGTTCAATTGTGTATTTTAGATAAACACATGTGTCTAGTATGGAAGTAAAGGAAAGTAGAGGCATTCAAGCCTTCTGATCTGTCCCTTAGCACCAACTACTGCCCACTAGAGAGGTAATAAAAACAGTGGAGAAGAGGTAAGAGCCCCATAGTTGTGCTATTACCAAAAATGCAACATGCATTATACAGTTATTAACTCTATCCTGATTTGGGAGTGGTAGCTGGATTCCCAGGAGCTGGCACAAAGGATAAAATGAATGTGTATGCTGCCCCTCGCTATGAGTGGCAAGCAACTCAACGGCACATAACAACAACAACAACAACATGCTGCCCGTATGGTAGTAACACAACACCAAAAGAAGCAAACACACACACACACAAAAACCAAGCCCATTGCCTTAGTCAATTCCTACTCATAGCAACAGCACTGACTTTCCCTACATGGTTTTCTGAGGCTGGAAGGAAGATAGGACAGGTAAAATGGGACTAGAGTAGAGGGAACATAAAAAGATGGGGAGGTGGGAACAGATCACCTTAGGAAATGCTGGTGGGAGTAGGAATATCTAATTTCATTTGTGAGTTTGAGACAAAAGGTATGCAGCCTGAAGAGAGCATCAGAAACCTACCTGATGGGAAAATGTCTCCATTTTGTAACGTGAGTTGGTTGATTAACATGTTCTGTCCAACAAAACAGAATTTTCTGCAAGAGTATTAAAGGTAACTATAGTTTAACCTGGAATTCAGTAAAATTAGATTTTTCTTTTGAAAATTAAGAATTATTAATAATATGAGTTTTGTATGTTTAAGGAAATGATGGTGCTTGGCATATTAATTACATTTAATGCATTTTTAGCACAGTTTTTTTTTGGCTAGACATTTTTATGGATTCCATGGCGACTTAAATGCTCCCAATTAACCTACAAAACAAAACCTAGGAGGCTGTTGAGTTGCAAATTGATGTCTAGTCAGTCTTTCCAATTCAGGAAGTTAGCAAAACTGGAAACAGTCTTTTAAGTTTGCTGAGATTCAATCTATAATTTACTTTCATGATTGAACAAGTCAATAGAATGGGATGACCTTAGTTTATCATTTCTGAGGGCAGAGAATGAAATTTCTATGTGATATTTATGCCCAATGTCCTTGGTGGATGATGTCTTTCTATCCCTCTTTCTTTTAAAATATCACAACCATGAAGATTGCCGTTTGGCAGGCTGTATAGATTCAAACAGAATCGGATAGTATGGATTCAGGTCAGGAACTATCAGTAAGCTCTGGTTGTGTATCAGCCTCTCTAACAAGAGAATAATGATCAAGAAACATCTTGCAAAAACTTACCAGGAACCACACAGAACCA